GTGTGGGTGTGTGTGGGTGTGTGTGGGTGTGTGTGGGTGTGTGTGGGTGTGTGGGTGTGTGGGTGTGTGGGTGTGTGGGTGTGTGGGTGTGTGGGTGTGTGGGTGCGGGTGTGGGTGTGTGGGTGCGGGTGTGGGGGTGGGGGTGAGGGTGGGGGTGCATGGGGGTGGGTGGGTGGGTGGTGGGGTTGAGACTTGCGATTTAGGGGGTTAGGCGAATTCCTGGTTAAAGTGTAGTGAGCTTCGGGATTTGGGACTTCAGAGCGTACGGTCTCCGGGCCTTAGTAGGAATTGTACTTTTTGTTGAGTGCAAGCGGTGGGGAATCAATGCAGGATTCAGCTGTTGTTGGAAGCCTCAAGTCCGAACCTCCTTGGAAGTGGCTTCGCTTCATGAACGGAGGCTTCAGGTGCGTTAGCAAACAGCTGCACGCGGATTTGGCCGAGGTTGGAGTCCAGCAAGCAGGTCTCACAGGTTGTCCTCAGGTCTGATTGCGTTCAGAACCTTGGGGTCCAGGGTTCAGCACCCGTAATTTCAGAGGTCGACCAAGAAAGGAGGAGCAAAGAGTGCCAGTTGCCACCCCATTTGCCTCATTTGCCTGATCACACATCTCTCCTTGAAACTAGAGATACAGGAGATACCAGATACTAAGGCTAACTTGAACCTTCAGAAACCCCGATCAGCCCTAAACTAAATCCTAAACCGCAACCAAGCCCCAAACCTCAGGCTGATCGCACCAAAAGCCACGAACTCAGGCCTCTCCTCCTTGGCCGGGGCTCCAGCGGCAACACACCTCGCACGCCGATGTTGACCTCCAGGAGTGCGTTTGAGGGTTTTGGTCGAAACTTTGGGTGCCGAGTTAGGGTGGTGAGTTTTAGGTTTCAGGTGCTTAAGGTTGTGTGCTGAACAGGGTTCAACTAGACATCAATTGCGAGGCTGCTCGGAAAGTGTTCATGGTTCACTTGACCGCGATCCTACAAGACCATAATTTGGAGCAGTCCTCGTACCTGGCCTTCGAAAGCTCAGGCCTACTATGCACTGACATAACTGACATAGCCCTTTGTCGCCTAGCATTCCATCATGAATTCCCAGAAATGTGGATGTGTGTGGAACCCTCAGTCGGCTACCGCGTTTTGTAAACATACACCCTTAACTTCAACCTGCCCTTAACCGACAAGCCCCGAAATCTTCTTGTGACCTTAAACAAAACCTGAACCGCCTCGGAAGCTAGAGGAGCGACGAGACACCGCCGATGGACCCGCGATGGGCGCCGAATATTCTGTTCTGCAGTTTTGCATATGGTGTGTTCACATGGTGTCGTAATTTTTCTGAAGTTTTAACAAACATCCCAGAACCGAGTCGAGTCGTGCAGGCTCCTGAATGTCCCTGGCTTGTGACATAAAGCTCTAGCTCTGTGAGGGTCTGGCCTCTAAGCTGATGGGCCAAAGAAACAGGCCTGCTTCAGACTTCAGCTTTAAGGAGGAGACATCCCCCTAGCAAGCTTCAGTTCGCCTTCAAGCAGCTGCTCCTCTTCGGAAAGCTGTATCTTGCCGACTTAAGTGTGGTGGGAGGACTTGAGCTATTCCCTGGCAGTGACCGTCGCCGACAAGGCTCGCAAACGATTCCTGCATTGCGTTCGTGGCTCATGGCGGAGACTCAGGGTTCAAGTCTGAGGGAGAGAGGATTTTGGAACAGCATGAATTTCGATACTACCAAGAACCTTAAAGATGTCTTCTAAGCCTGTAGGCCTGTAAGTTTTTAAAGCGCCACCCCATCGAGAAGACGGCAGTAGGATGTCGACACCTTTACCACTCTACGATTGCTTCACGAAGTAATGCAGACTTATGTTGGTGACGACCATCGTGGTGGGCCTGTGTAAGATGAGCAGCAGCATCCAGCCAGAACCTCGCAAGGGCACCGCGAAAGTCATGCACAGCTGAAACAGCACTCCTCCAGCTCAGAGCAGCTGTGCTGCATGTAGCTAACTTGGGGAGGTCAGCGCTGATGAGGCGGGCGGGGGGTCGGCCAGACCGAGCACGGATCGTGGAATTGCGGTTGCGCTTCATGTTCAGGATTTAGGGTGTCGTGCAGTCGGGTTCAAGGTCAGTTGCTGATGTGAAGCCTTGGAGCCTTGACAGAAATAGTTCATACAGGAGTTCGTTCTGTGCATTTATAGGACAACATCAACAGCATGATATTCGTAATGAGACTTATCTACTCGAAGCCAAGATGCTGAAGCAGCTCTGTCCTGAGATCTCGTGGCATGAAGCCTCAATTGATGCCGCCATCCACGGGAAAGCTTTCCCCAAACTTTTTGTCCGAAACTTCAAACAGGTGAAGCCTCCACGACCCTGACACTAGCCTCTTCCAGTCAGGGTTCTCTCGAAATTAGGATAAGTGTTGGATCTCTGTGTAATACAAGTTGTTGGCCAATCTTTGCATTTATCCCAAACCCAGATCCTTTCATGCTGAAGCCGATAGCCGTCTGGCTTATAAGACTGCTTGGCCCTTCTAGTCGTAATGTCCGGAGGATGCCAGGCCACAGTGGGCACAGCACCGGGCAGTGGAGTCAAGATTGCGCGGGCAGAGCAAGGCTGCAGCCGCGAAACAGCAGCAGAAGTCCTGATGAGCGAGGCTTGCCGTGCCGTGAGTACGCAAAAGTATTCAGAGTCGGCTGGAAGCCTGCCTTCGAATTCGACAGCCAGTGCCAGTAGCCCGACGGATTCGACTTCGACTGTCTCGCCCAGAAGTTGCCTCGGCTTTGCTGCACTTGAGGAAGTCAAAGAGGTAGAAGCCCACTTCGAGGCTGTGAGTGGGGAGGTCCAGCAGTGGAGCCCGACAAGCTTCGAGTTTCAACGGACTTTGGAGAAAGCTGCTCGAAATCAAGGACATGTAAGCTTAATGAAGTGCGTCAACGACGGTAGCTTTGTGGCAGTGAAGGTCATGCCAATTTCCTGGACATCGACAGGTGCCATGGTGATTGACCATTGTTTCTTTAGCTTGCTGCTGTTGCTTGATTAGACTCGATTATGCTATTGCTGTTCTCCCTTTTGATGCATCATTACGATTAGTATGTGGAGGCCACCAGCAGCATCGACTGCATCATCCGGAGGATACAGAGAATCCCTGGGTGGATCTCGGCATCGTTCGGCACCTGAGTAAGAAGGGAGTCAACTTCCTATGCCACCCTCAGGGCATCTTTCGAGATAATGCATGGCTTTACTGCGCCTCCGATGTCGCAACAGAAGCTGAGCAGTCGAGTAAACAATGATGTCACCTTTTGAGGTAGTTCGCAAAGCCTACCTACAAACTCCTAATTGTCAACCTTTCACCTTCCTCTAGGACCCTAGGAAGCGTGTCACGCAAGGAAGGCGACTTCTTCACCTTCGTGACTCCAGGACCCGAGCCGGGCCTAGAGAGAGAAGAGGCGCTAAGACCCTTCATGGTGCAGCTGTTCTCAGCCATGCGATACCTACATGATCGTTACATCGCTCACTGCGACATTTCTATGGAAAATATTCTTGTTTCCAAAAAGCTCACCGATGGGCATCTTCAGGTGGGGAACTGCTTAAATTAGGGTCATTTCGGAGATCCTTGTTTTTGGCAGCGACGATTTGGGAGACTCCGTTGGGGCAAGTACCCGAGGTGAAGATTATAGACTTTAGCATGGCCGTCGTCGGCGAAAAGATGACTTGTGGCCATCGTGGGAAGCCTTCGTACCAGGCACCCAAGATATGTTTGTGGTTTGGGGTTTCCAGTTGTAGGGTTCTAGCATTTCTGCCTTCAGGCACCGGAGATGACGTTGACGCAGTTCTACGACCCCTTTCTGGTCGATTGCTTCGGTATGGGAGTTGTCCTCTTCTCAGCTGCTGCACGGGCATACCCGTGGCTGTGCACGGTACAGGGCCGATGCAAGTGTTTCGATTACGTGCGAGAACATGGTCACAGGAAATTTTGGAGGATCCGAAAGGTCAAGAAGACTCAGCCTACCAAGAACATTGACCAGTGCTTCTCAGAGGAATTGAAATTGCTCGTTGAGGGCCTCCTTGCCCTCCAGCCTTCGGAGCGTTTTTCCATCGACGAAGCATTCGGCCTCGCATGGCTGAGAGATGGTGATGGCACTGTGGCCGCCGCCTGCACTCCCTTTGGCAGCTCTTCGGCTTTCAGTTAGGGTAGATTCGGGTAGCTGTAGCTGTCTTTGGGCCTAGGAAGCCAGAGTAATTAAGCACCGTGGGCGAAGGATAACGCGGCTTAGATAGTTATCGCAAGAAAGGTGAGCTGGCCAATTTTTTTTTGTTTGAACCGTCTGTATTCTACAGCTCTGCAAGGGTTTGAAAGAGCTTTTCGTGAATTCAGGCCGTTTCACTGTACTCTGAAGTCAGTTTTGCAAAGCATTGCTGAAAAGGGATGTACACTGGCCGAGCCGTGGCCAGATGACGACCCGCTTCTGTTCCCGGTGGCCTGCCGCCTTTTTTGTGCTAATCTCCAAAAGGAAACGTGGCCACTTGTGTCCGCGACAAGTGGCGTGGAAGTCCTGATCAGACTCCACATATTGTGACAAAATCTTCCGAGCCGCAGGAATGGCTCTGGCACCCGGGCCATACCTCAAGGCCTCTCAAAAAGCTCATAGTAGCCAAAGTGTGCTGGAACGGAACCTTGCCTTTCACAGGTCTATCAAAAGCTCTTCAGGTTGTCGGCCTGAGGCAGCTTCGGTAGCTTGGGCCTTCCCTGCGGACCGCTGCACGGTTGGGAAGGGAACTGTGTGAATTCTCTAAACTGCTAGAGCAGCGACAGCTGCGTAGCTGCCACAACCTATTAGTAAGGTAGTGCAGGGTCCTACCATAAGCGCGAACAAGCCCGAATCTGCAATTCATAGGGTTCCATACAAAGTACGATAGCTCAAGCTGTATCCCCTCCTTTCCCGCAAACCTACACATCTTGACCCTCGAAATGGCCATGCGTGAGAACTCCGTGGCCCAATATGACAATGAACAAACTCATAAACTCTTCCACCTGATACTAAGCTGAGGGGCTCCCGCTTCCTCCAATAAAAATCGAAAACTGTCTTTGTTACTAGGTGTGATTTTATCTTTTATTGTCACATTAGGGAGGATGTTGCTCCTGCTCTGGCACTTGCTCCTGCGCTCCTGCTCTTGCTCCAGCTCCTGGCGCGTCTCTTGCTCCTGCCCCCTGAGAACGTCATTTTCGCCTTCTAAAACCCAGTTTGAATTACGGGGATGCAAGAGCAAGAACAGGAGCAAAAGCAAGAGTAGGAGCCAGAGCAAGAGCAAGAGCCAAAGCAGGAGCAACAGCAAGAGCAAGAGCCGCAGCAGGAGCAAGAGCAAGAGCAAGAACACGACAGGTTAGAGTGATGGTTGATAAAACGGGGGAAGCGATTTCGAATCTCCTGTTCACACTCTATAGCCCCTTATAGCACCCTCGTAACACTTCTCCCGTCGTCGCTCCTTACATTTATTTGAAGCAGCAGTGGAGTCCCAGAGCAACATGAAATAAGTGGCCTGTAGCCGTGGGGCTTTGCAAGCACAACGCCAACACGCTAAAATCGGACAGGCAGCGCAGCAGCAAGACTCACATGTCCCAACCTGTGCAGAGCAGCAGCCCGAATGCGGTCTACAGACAATGAGGTTTCGCCGTCTGCGTCTCTGAGATATGTAAAGAAGCAGGCAAATGAGACCAGACATTGCTTCACAGATAGCAAATTGTTTGAAAGCGCTGCAGCGGCTAAGAGCACTGTGCGTGGCAAGTGAGGCACCTGCGTCTGCACCGGCACTGGCCAAGAATGTGCAGAGCGGCAGAGTCCCTTTTGGCATAATGGGTCACGGAATCGGCGTTCCGAATCCCATACTGTTTGAATGAGATGCTGGCTCCTGTGGTGAACAAGCGAACCCCACTAGCTCTTGAAATGCTCCATAGCTGTAGCCTTTGAAGCTTGACCGGGTCTCCCACGTCAGCACCAGCATCGCTCCTTTTCAAATTCCAGATACTTCGCCTGTCCCAGAGTACGACCCCCACCTCAACAGAGCTCATAATAGCAGATACCAGAAACCACGAGAGCACCACCAACTGCGGCCGAACAATCTCCGGAGCCAGGATTTGATCCAGGGTTCCACTACAATGAGCCGATCGCTGCTGCGGCCGCCGCTGCCTCCCCACCGTGGCCTGCAGAGGGGGACTGGGCTGAGGGTCCTCGAGCCTAGGAGACTTGATGCCCAAATCCAAAACCCGGCTTGCTCTTTTGAGGCTCGACTGACAATATGACCGACATGAATGACGTGTTGAAGAACTCCAGCATCAACCTAAACCCCAAGAGTTCAGCATGGCCGCGTTCGTTCAGACGGTTGAAGTCAAGCTTGGGGTTCTTTCGCCATCGTCACGAGTACCCGTGTTGTCCAGGATCTGAAGGGGCCCGTCTTTGTCATACAAGAACCTGTTCTCAAACTCGATCAGAGCAAAGACTGTGGGATTTTTCTTCCATGGAATGGAAGTTGCATGGATGACATTGGCTACGCATCGAAGCTGAGGGAGATGCGAAGCACATAGCAATGTGAGCTTGCTGCAGCATTTGCATACCGTACCGATCAAAACATTCCAGGTGTGCAAAGGCACTTAGGACGGCTGCCCCCCACATTGTCAGCTCGATCGGCCATTTTGATTATACCGAAAGAACAAAGACACTACAACTAGCAGAATAGCCAACGCTGCCGGTTGTCAAATGTGAAGTCAGGGGGGTCCCGATTCAATGAAGCATGATTTCACAGACACACACCAGTGCAGATGAGTACCTGAGTAGGCACATAGGCATCGATTGGAACATCGCTAGCACCATAAACACATGTGATCACATGTGTATTCACGTACATGTAGACATATGTACATGCTCAATACAAGCGTTCCTCCACATGTTACATACCGAAACCATCAGACCTACCCAATGAAGGCACAGAGCCCGCCCTCCAGCCACCTTTGCATGCCCGTGGAGGCCCCAGTGGGAACAGGGTTTTGGATGCCAGGTTTTAGGATTGAACATGGTCTGGTGTAGGGCCTTTGCAAAACTGCACTAACATTGCCTCTGGATACACTTGATAGCACTCAGTTTGATTCCGGCTCTTTCCCGTGATGGAAGCACAAACGGAGTGTCCTTCCTGTAAAGCCTCTATGGTGCCTACCTTGAACCTTCCTCCTAAACCCTTAACCTGAGCCTCATAAGCCCTTCACCCCGAATTCCCGAAATCTGAACCGCTGAACTAGATGTTGTTGTCCTTCCCAGCTGCGTGGCATTTCGCTCCCAGGTCCGCATGTGGCCACGGTCATGAAGGCTTGTGCCAAAGGGTTCAGGGCTGACCGAAACTCTCCAACTTTAGCCCCAAACCGCAACCCTGGGTTTCAAGACACGGATTCGAGAGTAGGGCCGAGTAAGGTTGAGGATTTGGGACTGTAAGATGGAAGAGGCGTGGTCCAGGATCGCGGATTTGGCGTGAAATGAATTTTCGCTTTGGAGCTTGTAGGATGCATGGCAGGGCTTTGGTGTGTGGGGCTTTGGGGTTAGAGAACGTTCAAGGCTTAGGGTGTCGAATAGTATTTCCATTCGTCCTAGCACTTTAAAGGTACTGGTAGTATTAGTAGTACTAATAGTACTAGTAGTACCCGTAGTACTAGTAGTACCAGTACTACTAGTAGTACTAGCAGCACCAGTAGCATGAGCAGTAGTAGTAGCAGTAGTAGCAGCAGCAGTAGGAGTAGTAATAGCAATAGCAGCAGCAGCAGCAG